CCGGGGGAAACTGCTGCTGCTGGGCCGAGGCCTGCCCGTCGCCCAGAGGGTCCCACGGCCCAGCCCTGTCCTGCTGGGGGGCACTTGAGGCCTGTGCCGGCGCGGTCCGCTCCTGCGGTACCGGGCCCTCCCCTTCATCCACCGCCATGTGGATGAGGTTCCGGGCTGCCTCAAAAGTCTCTGGGGTGGAAGGCTGACGGACCTCTCCTAGCCCCACTGACTGCCCAGGGCTCTTGCGATCTGCGTCTCGGTGCCCTGCTGTCCGACGGTGCCGCTGTCGGTGCGCTGCGGGCGGAGTGAGGCCGCTCCTCGCCCTGAGGCTGCAGTGCCGACTCCATTAGCAGGAGTTTCAGTCGGAAGTCCCTCTCCTTCTTAGTCCTGGGTTTAAAGCTCTTGCAGATAGAGCAACTTTCAGCTCGATAAGCCTCACCCAGACACTTAAGGCAGTTAGAATGAGGGTCTCCTAGGCTTGGAGCAGGAGGCACAGGGTTTGAAGCCCTGGGGCCCTGGCATGCCCTCCCCTCGCGGGAGGGTTCCACTGCTCCCTTATCTAAATAACTATTTACAGTACTTAACAACTACTTAACTAGAAAAAAACTTCAACTGCGAACTATAATACAACGGGTAAGAGATAAGCTGCTAAGAGATAGGCAATAGCCTAAAGCACGCTCCAGCTACTGTCACGGGCGGTAAGAAGGAACTGAGGGGTGGGAGGGCCAGCAGGGGTATATATGCACCGGTATACCGGCGCCACTCCAGGGGGCTCCCTGCTGGCCCTATGGGTACTGCTAAGGGAAAAAAGCTCCGGAATCCGTGCACGCGGCGCGCGTACACCTAATCAGAGTGGACATGAGCAAGCACTCGAAGAAGAACTATGCACTGTTATTTATTTTAAAAATTGCCTTGATACCAAACAAGTGTTTGAAATAATAAAACAAAGAAATAACAGCAGCCTAGATTGGTGGCTTGTGAACACTGCTATACATATATGCAGGACACATTAGTTCGAAAATTAATTCAAATCTCTCACTTCTTGAACCCAGTAATGTTCAGCTGGTATATTATAAAATGATATGCACGGGAAGATACTCCTTTTTATACAGTCTGGTTGATTCTATTTGTGGCATTGATGACACTGGGAAGTGAGAAAAAAAACTTACTAATCAAATTTTTACTCCTGCAGAGTAGTAATTGCCTCTCCCACCATTTTGTGAAACACCTGCACTAGGAAAAAAAATGTCTCCTTTAATGTAAGAAAGATTGTACTGGTTGTAATAGAGACTGTGTTCTATAACAGAACTCCATCCTGTAAAAAAGAACTTCTGTTCTAAGTCCCACCAAAAACATCCTGTAATCATTTAGCTACTTATTAATACACGAACTGTGGTTCATAATGAAAATATGCCAGTTTTTGCGTGCAGGCTAAAATGTGAATGGCAGACTCTATATGACCTCAAGAACACAGTTACAAAGTGAGATACATGAAATCCCAGTAGTAAAAAAGAACATATAATGTTCATCAGAAGGGGATTCAAAGAAGTCTTTGTAAATGATGGGTGATTTCCCTTTAGTTCTATCGTTATGCTGACAACTTCATAACAAAATGGCGTATCACAAAGAATGTAGATTATAAACAAAATACATATTTGTGTCTATTTTTAAAACTATTTTTTTTAGTAAAACAAGCTTGCAACTTTACTATTTTGAGGTAAAAACCCCACTCATTTTAAGAAAGCTAAAAATGGAATTCCAAGCTAATAAAAACATTAATCTTTTCTTCTTCTGAAAAAATCCTTGGCGTATCATGAGAATTACAAATTGAAATTTTACTCCTAAAACAGAAAAAAGAACGTAAAAACCAAGCTTCCCTGTGTGAAAAAGTGTAATTAATAAAATGGCAAAAAGTAGATCAACCAGCCTTTTGTGGTAGATAATTTCCTTAAATATTGGAATACTTTATACTTTAGGGCCTGTTTCTGAAAATCATTTCTCAAGCATGTAGCCCTTTATCCAAAAAGCCCTTTAAGACATCCTCTGAAGTAAATGTATGAAGTTTTTGGCAGTTAATTTAATCCCCCCAAAAAGTGTTTAATCCTGCAAACATGCACATGCATAACTTTACTCATGAGATTAGGCTCATTATAGTCAGTGGAACTACATGCATGAGTAAAGTTAAGCACGTGTAAAAGTCTTTGGGAGACTGGGACATAAACTGGTGACAATATATTCACATAAACTAAAGCAAGCAGCAAGACATTCTTCACAGAGGAATAAAAGGTTTTAATGTATACCTAGGATGAATATTCCAGAAACATATGTTGGTAGGAATACAATAAAAGCAATATTATTTACAAAAACAGATGCACTGAAATCTAGAAGAGATTTTGCTAGTGTCCATATTGTCCATAGGGTTGAGCACAGGAGTTCTTATTACAAAATCCTCCATTGACACTCTATAGGACAATATCAATTCAAATGCAAATACCCTACACCTATATATTAAAGTAACTTACAAGATACAAAGCTAACAGTAGGAAGCCACTTTAATTCACGGATCTGGTATATGACTCCTATGAATTGCATTACAGCTTCTTTAAAAAAAAGTTAGATTTTTTTTTTACAAAGAAAATAAGACCTTTCCCACATGGTTCTATCATTAGTCAATGGAACAAGCTGGCAAAGAGACTGTGGAATTGCACTTACTAGAAATATTCAAGGCTAAATCAAACACCCATCTATTAGGGAAGGCTTATGAATAATAATGTCTAACCCATCAAAGGCAATGTGATATACTAAAAGTCCCATTAACAAACCCATACAAATGTTCTATTTCCCTTCCTAAGACAAAACATAACAGGGACAAAGCACCCCCAAAAACTCTGGGTTTCTGAGGTAATCACTTCTTAAGATTAAGAGGTTATCAGCATTTACAGGGTTGCACTGACGCAGCTGTAACACTGAAGACACTATTCATATGACAGAAAAGCTTCACCCCTCAGCATACGGACTTTACCTTCCCGAGAGGCAGTAGCCATGCTGACAGGAGAAATCCTCCTGTCAGCATAGTGCTGTTTACACCCAGCGTTAAGTCAGAACTATGTCACCCAGTAGTGTGGAAAATGCACCCCCCAAGCCATAAAATAATGCTGCCATATGTATGTAGTGTAGACCTGGGTGAAATGATGTGGCTATGCTAAGAATGAAGAGTGTAGCTGTCAGGACAGGATGGGTCAGAGTCCAAGCCATGCCTCCAAGACATACAGCACAGAAAGCACGTCTCAGGGAAATTGGAGCGATAATGCTTTAAATCACTTGTGTGCCCTCTTGATTCTGGGATGGAAATAGCCCTCAGCATAACCAAAGCAGACTGGGAGGCAGCTGCAAGTTATGACAGCCTTTCTTGAACTGCCTATGGATTGCAATACAAGCCAAAGTGACCACAGAGTTGTGAATTATGGACCCCGGCTCTTCTCCCAGCATGCCCCTGTACCTGTGAAGGGACCAGCACAGGTTTGTCTACGGTAGCCCCAAATGCAAGACATGCACTGGGGGAATTCTTCCCTGCCCTCTTGTGGGCTTCTTTATACAGTGATGCCAGAGTGGGGGACAAAATCCCTCACATCTGTGTGTTGAGCTTTTTAATTGTGGAGCTATGCTAGTAGGTTTCAAGGCTTCCATATGGGAGGACATCCATCTACACTGCTAGTTCATGTCCCACTCTCTGGAAGCATGCCTCACTGAAATGACTTACTGATGGTAAAGAAAAACAAGTTAATGCAATAAGCTAGATTTGGAAGAGAACATGCCACAATCAGTAAATGCTTTACAGCTCCTCTACATTCACCAGAACTCAAAGCCTAAGTGATATTTGTGCACAGAGTCAGGTGACAGACGAGAACAGCATGCCACCTTGGCTCCACTTCTCCCGTTAGGGAAGTTTAAGTCTTTTTCCTACACTTTTGCTGCCTTCTGCTGTGCAGCAGCCAGGGAACATATGGCCTCAAATGACAATTATACTCTGAGTGTGAGGAAGTTAGAAATCTCAGTCAACCAGAATCCTAATTCATGCAGACTTTTAGTCCTGTTATCCCTTTTTACTATTTAACATAGTGAAGACCTGGTGAACAGACATCACTTACAGAAGGGAAATTGTAACTGTTTACACTTTATTATTTAACTTTATGTTTCAGGTTACCAATTTCAAATGAATCACAGTCACTGACTCTATGGGACACCATAAAGAGTTGCAAAGCTCTTACTAGTTTTAGCATCTGTAAATGGAACAAAAGCTGATATAAGGAATTAATATCTTATGCAGTCATATACATCTAGCTATTCTGATTAATAAATAATTCTGAACATAGTCTTTGTTACTTCTTACTGGAGAATTGCAACAAATAGGCTTTGGATCAGGACCCAAAATTCACACATAAAAGCACAATGTCAGTGCACGGAATAAAATGTCTTGATACCCTTATACTTCAGCTACTAGGAGAAGGACATTACTCTCTCCTTGTACAATGAATTCTTTGATTCAGAAAATTTGTTTCATGAAAACTAAGAATTCACAGAATTCTACAACTAGGGAACTTGGGGGGAAGGGCAGTCCCACTTGTAAAACTCACTACAGACATGGCTAAGAGGGCTGCACTGGTTGTGCATTTCACTTGTTTTGTTTTTATCTCTGTGCCTCCGGATCAATTGCCATCCATAACAGCTACATATTTAATACACTGCATTACACATATATTGCCTGCTTTGTACCCAGAATGACGCTGGCAGTTGGTCGCTCCGCCCTTCTTTAGTTGGCAATGTCTTCATACCAATGAGAGTGAGATCAATATATGTCTCACAATCTTATCTAGGGTTTACATCACCAACTCAGATATAAAAATCACACCATCAAATATAATAGAATTAGTACCATTGAATCAATTGCTTTCAAATACATAAATTATTCTGAAAGTACAATGGAAAAGCAAACAACACGAATTCAGTACCTGAAGTTGTATTTTTGCATCTTTGCTGACACTTTTTGTTCTCCATCGTCTTGTGACCCGCTTGTCTTTCTTTGAAATATCTACACAGTTAGCCTACATTACACAAACAGTTAAAAGCAACAAAGCACTATTAAGTTGACACAGATGGGACAGCACGTTAGTAAAGAATCATAATGTTAGACATCAATATATAGGAGAGTAAAGATAGAATGGACAGGTGGTCACTCTTGTGATCTACCTATGAAGTTAGCCACAGAATACAGTAATTAAAACAAGACTAATAAGCATTAGAGACAAATATTATACCACAGCTAATCACATATTTAACAAAATTACTAAATATATTTTATTTGTCAGTACAAAATATTCAGGACAAAATCCTGACATTCTTATTTATTTTTACTGTTGTTACTCAGTCAGAACTCCCAGGGCAAAATGCAGACTCCAGAGAACTCAATGGCCAAACACGCACTGAGGGCAGAGGTCGCTGGTTTCACTCCCATGGAAGTCAATGGGAGTTTTGCACGAGCAAGAAAGGAGTAAAAAAATTAATGAAATTTTCACATTTCAGGGCTTGCTATTGCTCCCACTAAGTCAATGGAAAACTTCTTCTGACTGTTGGGAACAGAATCAGGCTTTTCAGCTCTTTCTGACTGTCCATATTAGTCAGTCAATTGTGCAAGGTGCTGACTTGTTTGGAGTGGCATTGACAGTTTTTACCACTGCTATCGAGGTGCTCGACACCTTCCAGATTTGGATCTCCCATCCTCTTAAATTTCACTGCTACCTAAGCATGCTATATACCGTAGGGCAATGCCACTTAGCATACTTTTTTATTTTATTTAGTTATATATTTAGTTCTACTTTTGGCAAAGGACGTATGAGTTGTCCCATCTGCCTTAAATTAGTAAACTACCTTTTACCAATAAGATGTTTTTCATTGTGGGGTGTTTTTTGGGAGGAGGTTTGGCAGGAAACAGAAGCGGGGTTTGATACATGTAGTACAATCATTATTAAATTACCCTGTTAACCAGAGGGGTACTACAATTCCAGAATATAAACTAGTCTGATTTAAAATGCAACGTCCTGTGACAGACATAGAAAAATGTTTCAAACCCAAAGGTATTTAATGAGACAGAGCATCTACAAACCAGGTTTTTACACACATTTACCTGCATGTCTGTGAAGTTTGGTGCTGACTGAGTCCTCTGTAGTATTTCTAAATTTTGAAGAAGCTTACTGAGTTCCACAAGGTTTGATTGGCAGTGTGCAAGATCTAATACATATACAAAGGAAAATACATTAGGTACTTTGATTCAAAGATAGGTTTTACTCTGATACCATAAACCAACCTAAGCCAAGAGTTCAGACTCTATAAAATGATTATGATGGATAACCTCATTTTTCTGCAAAAGGTTCAGGGACAGGTACCAGAGGAGTAGACAATTAGCACTGACCCAGCTGTTGGTCTCTACCCTTTTCTTCTACAACTAGCATAAAAACACCATCTTCTCCGCCTCATAGTCAGCAAGACCAGATACTTTTACAACTGTGGCCCCAAGCCTGCAAACACTTGTGCACATGCATAAAATGAAGTATATGTGTACACTTTTGCAGGATATGAGGCTTATGTTTTATCACAACATTCCAAATTCTGCTTTCTTTCTATATCTTCATTTAGTATCTGACCTATGTCACTCATACTCTGATAACTCTGATAACTCGTTTCACCATTTGGAAAATAGTCCCTAGTGCCTATTATTTTGCCAACCAATTTTTATTTGCCACTGACTCCACCCACTGCATGTTTACTTATGCCAGCCATTAGGTTCTTTGCTCACCTAACAGTACTAAAAATCCATTTGATTCTGTTTAAATAATTTTGTGGGAAAAAATCTGAGAGGGTATGTCTACACTACAGCACTAATTCGAACTAACTCAATTTGAAATAGTTAATTCGAACTAAGCTCATTCGAATTAGTGCATCTAGACCTAAAAACTAATTCGAATTAGCGTTTTGCTAATTCAAAATAGCATGTCCACATTGAGTGGACCCTGAACCGAAGTTAAGGCTGGCCGGAACCAGTGCCGGCAGGGCATCAGGTTAGGACTTAAGAGTGTGGGGCTGCTGCCTCAGGCTAGCTGAGGGCTGTGCTTAAAGGGACCCGACCCCCACCCCAGACAGACAGTTCTCAGGGTTCCCTGCTTGTTTGTCTAACTCAATGAGGGACAGCAAAGCCGTCCTGTCTTGGAGTGCCCTGAGTGCCCGCACTCGGCACATCACAGCACTCGGCCATCAGCCCGGCTGCACTTGCCGCAGGCTGCCATCCGGGGGTGTCAATCGGGGGGCTGTCAAGATCCAGGAGGCCCTGAAGGAAAGCTTCCGCCCCGAGGAGCCTGCAGAGCCACCCCAGTCCTCCCCATCGGGGGCTCGTACCCTATTCCTCACTCACCTCTTTCCACTTACCCTTCCTTAGCCCCCCTTCCTGATGTAAAAAATAAAGGACACGTGTGTTCACAAATAGAAACTCTCTTTATTTAACAAAACTGGGGGGGAGGGGAATTAACCTCTGGGGAGACTGGGAAAAGGAGGTGGGAGAGGGGAAAAGAGAGGGTGGGAGAGGGGAGGTGGAAACCTGGGAGGAGGAAGCTGGAAGGGGGAAGCCAGAGGAAGGAGGAGGAGGGGAAGTATAAAACTATGGTACACCATATCTTCAGTACTGTATACAGATGTGGTCTCCTCACCTCAAAAAAGATATTTTGGCCTTGGAAAGGGTTCAGAAAAGGGCAACTAAAATGATTAGGGGTTTGGAACAGGTCCCATATGAAGAGAGGCTAAAGAGACTGGGACTTTTCATAAAAGCATGAGTGGTGTGGAGAGAGTGAATAAAGAAAAGTTCTTCATTAGTTCCCATAATAGAAAGACTAGAGGACACCAAATTAAATGAATGGACAGCAGGTTTAAAACTAATAAGCGAAAGTTCTTCTTCACACAGCACATAGTCAACCTGTGGAACTCCTTGCCACAGGAGGCTATGAAGGCTAGAACGATAACAGAGTTTAAAGAGAAGTTAGATAAATTCATGGAGGTTGGGTGCATGGAGTGCTATTAGCCAGGGGGTAGGAACGGTGTCCCCGGCCTCTGTTTGTAGAAGGCTGGAGATGGATGGTACGAGATCCATCCATCCATCCATATGTTCTTATGAGACAAATCACTTGGTCACTGTCTTCGGTCCATCCCCTCTGGGGTACCTGGTGTTGGCTGCCTTCGGCAGACAGGCTACTGAGCTAGATGGACCTTTGGTCTGGCCCAGTACGGCCTTTATTATGTTCTTATGTTCTAAGCTCAGGGTCGGGGGTCTCACTGGACCAACTTGATTTTCATGCAGACCTGCTCCTGGGTTCGCATGTGGCCTTCGGTGGCCAGGCTGGCAGCTATCCTGCCCTAGACGGCCACATTCCTGTGCCTAGTGCAGAGATCGTGGACATTGGAGGCCTCCCCCCAAACCTCGATGAGGTCCATGATCTCCGCACTAGACTAGGCGGGCGCCCACCTCTTGCGGCCCCGGGCAGGCTCCTGGGAGCTGCCAGCCTTGTCCTGGGAAGAGGCGGAGGGCTGGGTGGCAGCAGGTAGCTGGCTCATGCCGTGCCAGGTGCAGGGTCCTCTGGCTGGGTGCTGGCAGGCTTGCAACTGGCACAAGCACTGTAGCCAGACCGTACCCTTTTAAGGGTTCCAGGGTCGGGAGGGGGGCAGAAAAGTTTCCCTGGTTTGGCCCAGAGTGGCCACCAGGGCAAGCTGAGAAGGGCTAGCCTCCAACTAGTTCGAATTAAGTGGCTACCCAGCCCTTAATTCGAACGACTTAATTCAAACTAGGCGTTAGTCCTCATAGAATGAGGTTTACCTTGTTCAAATTAAGCACTCCACTACTTGGATTTAAATTCGACCTAGCAATTTGTATGTGTAGCCCCTATTAAAGTTAATTCGAACTAACGACTGTTAGTTCAAATTAACTTTGTAGTGTAGACATACCCAGAGAGAATAACAAACTATAAAAAAACAAGAGTAAATTCCCTGTGTTCTTACCAAATTTTATTATATTTCATACTTTTGGAGATGGAGGTAAATGAAACCAGTAAAAAATAGAAGTATGATATTTATATGTACTCAAAGGTGAAGAATCTTAATAAATTGGAATTTTAAGACAATGTGACCAAATTTCTAACCCTGAGTATCTATGAGTTAGGTACTTAAATTCTCATTTAGGCACCTAACAAAGGGTATGTCTATACTACAGGATAAGGTTGAATTAAGAGATACAACTTCAGCTATGTTAATTGTGTAGCTGAAGTCAAAATACCTTACCTCGACTTTTGGCGCTGTCCACACTGCAGGAAGTCTAAGCAAGAACAGTCTCCCTTCGACTTCCCTTACTCCTCATGGAAGCAGAAGTGTCAACTGGAAGGCCCCTCTCAGTTCAAATTAACTGTCTTCACTAAACCTGCTAATTCGAACCCTGGAAGATCGACAGCAGCAGCTTCGATCTTCTCTGTAGCGTAGACATACCCTAAGTGGCCCCATTTTCAGTAATGCTGAGCCACCTACTGCTTCTACTGAAGACAATGGAAGCAGGCCTGGGCCTCGGAGGGGAAAAGGCATTATTTTACCTTAAAAAAATCTGAATAGCTATTTTAAGAATCAAAAATACAATTTAAAATGTAACATCCAGAAATGTGAAGACAAAGTACCAACTCCATCACAATGAACAGCTTTAGATGTTGCCACTTTATTATTTTAGTTGGGCCATTTTACATTAACATAAAGAAGCATCTTAGCCTTTTTGGTTGACTATTTTTTTTGTAATGTATCAATGGTCTTACTTGCAAGAAAAACATGAAAAAGAATGACTGACCTTCTGCACACCTGTCCATCTCCTCAGAATCCTGCAACCAAGCGACTACTTTACTTTGGCCAGTGGTATATGTTGCAGGAAGGCTATTACTACATGGTATGGGGGATTGCCATGGGAAGCTATTTTGTGGACCCTAAAACAACACAGGAACATTTAAAATATGTTAGTATGATCTATGCTTTGCTGAGCAATCTAATCATCACACTACCTTTAACTCAGAAATTAAATTCTGTATCTGAAATTTTAACAGATATAAGTGAAACTGAAATTTTCACTTTAAAGAAGTATCTTTTCAGAAAATCATATGGAATACCCTAAGGTGCCTTCGAAGAAACAGCACTTCCTGAGCATCAGCTTGAAAAATTACTCACTAAAAAGAACATTATCAAATAATAAAGAGCCAGATTAACCCCTGCATGTTCAACATGGTGCAAATTGCTTTAGGGAAGCTTAGAGCTCTAATGGGGTCTCTATAGGAAATCCACTACAGAAGGCTGCTGCAGAGATGTGTTGAATCAATATATCTTTCAGCTACAAATCCTTGCTGGGCAGTGTTGCCTACTTTGATTATTTTTTCCATGGCTGGTTACACCAGCTTTACAACCAGAATCCACCCTTATGTCCATTAGGGAGTCCCACCCACTGTAAATATTACAGTAATGTCAAGAGGAGTGTTTCCACAGAAGGGATGCTGTATACCTTGCCATCTAATGCAGCAACATTAGCAGCTGGTGAAGACTCTGTAGTGGAGGCTGAAGGGAATATGTGGAAGCTGGCATCTCTTGGTGATCTTACAATCTCATTCTGACGGTACAATCTGTGATGGCGCAGTTTTGATACCCACGCGTCAAATGAATCCTGGGACTTCACCTAAAAGAAAGGTGTCAATTATGTGTTCATAAAGATACCCAGCTTATTTTACAGCTATTATGTATGCGTTTTTCCTTGTGGATAAAAAGAGGAGAAAAATGCATGGCAATACTACTCACCTTCAGGTGATAGATATGTTCTTCTGTATCAAGGTCTATTCTACGAGCTTTCTTTTTAATTGACATAACGGATAAGCCAACATCAATGCTTCCATGTACCTTGCCTTTCTGAATCTAAAATCAGAAGTCATGTTAAGAGACTGGTAATATCAAATGCTTTATTGTCTCTAACAACAAAGCATTATTGGTGTAGTTGTTTCATGTTTTAGGCAAGAATTTAATGTAAAACAAGATAAAATAGATGGCACACTAGGTTTAATGTAAAACAAGAGAAAATAGATGGCACACAGAGGTCCACACCCACAAAAAGGGTTCATTCCAAAGTCAGTTCTAATATACAGCCTTGATGGCTCACTCCACAGCGTAACTAAGTTTAGAATGATTCATTTTGATTATGTACAGGGTATCCTCACTATAAATACAAGATACGTTAAAAAAATGCGTATTTATAAAGAAACGACGTAAAGCAGAGAATTGTTTTTCCCATGACTGACTTCCATTTGTGCAAATTGTTTTGGGGTTTTTTTGTGTGGTGTAAGAGCAGGGAATGGGAGGACTTATAACGCATCCGTTCCTACAAGTGTCAATATGGAACCAATGTATACTGAGGTGATTTATAGAAGGGATGCCACTACAGAATAGAAGCTAAATTCAAGAGTTAAAAATTATTTCCGGGCTAATCAGTCAAGGTCCTTCCTTGAATAAATGACTCTTTAATTAATCTATTCTATACTTTCATAGAAGTCAGGACAGAGTTCTGCTCTGGGATAGAGCTCAATCAATAAGCTACTCTCTGTCCATGTGAGTATCTCCCAGTAGAAAATCAGATGCTCAATCAAACAGTGAACCTAAGGGCAGAATTTTGTCTGAAAAATCTGGTGAAGTCAGAAGAGATGCCCATGTACCTATTACCATGGCTCTTCCCCAATGCATTACATTTCTTTTAAAAAAAGCTATTGAATACAGTCTACACTAAATTCAGAAAGACTACCAGTACAATAAACTAGCAGTATCATCATAAAACAGGGTCACAGGGGTAAGGGAATAGTTTCAGTAAAATGGACACAGATTTAGGCCTTATTTTTAATTCCATCATACGGTAATTGTTCATATGGTTAACATATTAGATGATATCTCATCTATGGCAAATAACCAACAGATAGAGGTCAGAATCCTGATAGCCTTAATTGCATATTTTTTCATGTCCATGTATTATTTAAATAGGGAGACATATAAATTAGGGGAGCAGGATTTGATCATTAGTAGTTTACTAAATCCAGAAGCACCCAAAAAGCATGGATACAAATGAGCAATGCAGATAACGATGGACCACATCTTCTTATGCTATGTAGGAAACTGGTAACTTCAAGTTTGCATTTGCAGTGTGTCCCTGCCATTCTCTCTGTAATAAGAGAGGCTGTAGGCCTGGAAATCTGCATATTGTGATGAATTCACTGGTCATTAGGCTCATCTGAGCAAAAGCCTCTGCAATGCCTCCTGCAGCCATTTCCCTGTCTCTTCCAGAGATGTTTCCACTGCTCATCCCTGTCCTATAGGTCACTGAGCAAAGTGGGAAGCTATGCAAATGAATGCTGACCCAACATCAGCTCATGCAGGGTAGCACCAATGAGTCAGCGAAGAGACTATGCCATGAAGAAGCAGTGGTGTGCAGTGCTACCCCCTCCCACCCTGAGCCCTACATCTTCCCCATTTATACTCAGTCAGTGCAGAGGTCTTTCATGGAAACAGCACTCCCTCTTTTAAGCCCAGCAGTCATCACCTGCTAGCTTGTGTTCCCTTAAGGATCCACTGTGCGACATCAGGGTTTAATAACACAGCAGACTAAGCTTTCAGTCAAAATTTAAGACTGGCCTTCAGTTTTACTTACATCGATTGGTGACTTTGAATACTTTAACATGCCATTATCCAGGACAAAAAAGCGCTGCAGGGAAAAAAAGTACAGGAAAAAATAAGATCCTTCTTAGTGATCAAATGCAATTTTAACTATGCAAAATCACATCCTCGAAAGTAGGTTTGTTATCCCAAAACACCTTGAAGTCAGAGTATGGGGACAGAAAAAAGCCTGTAAATGAAGTACTGAATTGACTATTTGCTTTCAATTGTTTTGGCAACAATTATTTTGTAGGCCAGGGGTAGGCAAATATCAACTTGCAGACTAGAACCGGTCTGCCAGGATTAGACCTGGCCAGCCCCCGTACCACTATATCTGTTTCTTCACTAGTACAGGATATCACAGCTCTTGTTGGCCACAGACTGCCATTCCTGGCCAATGGGAGCTGTGATCACCTATACCTGTGAGGAGCAGGTAAATATAGTGGCAGTGGCCCACCAGGAGCTAACCCTAGTGAACCACCACCATTTTATTCCCCTCCCCCCCGCTCTAGGCACAACAGATGGGTCCTCTCAGGCATTGGCCAGGGAATGCTCAGTAGTCAAAGATAGTTTCCTGCTCTCTGACTAGTCCAGAGAGGTCTATGGCCTGACGCTTTGGCTTAACATTTTTTAAAAGAAGGCCATTGTTTTCTTCATGCTCTCCCTGGATTTTACCCACCCACATCAGTCACATTCTATGTTAACATTTTTCTTAGCTTTCTCATCCAGGAAAAAAGAAAACACAAAGCTATTCCTACTACAAAAGGTAGAACTACCTTGTGGCTCTTGTGAACCTTGGATCTACATCTGGGAAGGGATGCATGCTGAATGCTGAGACATACTCCATCACCTTGCCTACGTCTATACTGCAGGCTTCTTCAGCAAAAGCTTATGCAAATGAAGCATGGGGTAGAATATCGCCATGCTTCATTTGCATAATTAATTAGCAGCCATTTTGTGCAAAACCCCCCTCTTGTGCAAGAGCTGTTCTTCCTCATTTTTTCAGGAAGAACGGCTCTTGCGCAAGAGGGGGGTTTTGCACAAAAACGGCTGCTGATTAATTATGCAAATGAAGCATGGCGATATTCTACCCCATGCTTCATTTGCATAAGCTTTTGCAGAAGAAGGCTACAGTATAGACTTAGCCCCAATGTCTCTCTTCAATGACAGAGGATGGGGAGAGAACAGTTTTCTCTGTTCTGAGGGTTTGTTTCAACTAGGATAAAAGGTGTTTTGTTAGAATGGGTTAGCTAACACCCTCTGAAACTGTAGTGTAGACGAGGCAGTGCAGACTTAACAAGTGCTAGCTTCTCAAGATGAAGCCTTGGCTTTATCTTAAGCAGTTTAGCATGTGTTGAAGGCAGTATGCTTTCTATTCAGTAGGCTTTTAGAAGATGTTAACTGATGTGGGCTGGCCTAGAGAAACCCTCACACATTTTTTAAAAACTCTAGTGTAGTGAGGGCAAGTTGTGTGTTAACATGTTAAAACAAATTTTTAAAATATACTTTTTATCTTAGTCTAGGCAAGCCCTCTGAGGCAGCTGCAGTGGAGAGGAATGACAAACTTCTTGTGCTGTGATCCAGATCAATCTAACAACTTGGGCTGAGCCAGCATGTTAATCAGAGATCTCTGTAAGTACCTCCTGACAGTACTGCATGAAGTAGTGCTCATGACTCAGCAGGTGACACCACTGTCTCAGCCTGATATATGGGGGAAACTATTGCTGGAGACATTTATTGCAGTTGATGTTCAACCAATTACGGTAATTAAAGACCACTTAGAATTTTTTTTCTAAGGGTAAGATGTTAGTGGCAGGTAATTCTGCCTTCTCCTGCACTCTCCACTGGATAAAAGTATTGTTTCCCCATTTATTATTCTAAACTGTAGTGCAATTATGAATACTGCAGAGAAATAGTCACATCATTTCACTCCATTTGGGTACTGGATAAACTGATATACAAATTATATAAAAGAATTTGCTATGTTATCAAAGCCTTTTGAGACCCTTTGTGGTGAACTATGTTATCTACTATAAATGTAAATGGTTATTTTATTACTGCTTATGTACCATGTGCTGCAATTACTGTTTTTAGAATGTTTCACTATCTCCCAGCACATTGTATTTTTACAGAGGCTTTACATCATGTAGGCAATCTCTGAAAAATGGCTTAATGAATCCAGTGCTTGAATGCAAATTGGGGGTATCATGTTTATGTGATCTGTAAAAATGGGATAAAGACCCAGAGCCCGAGTGTGATCGACTTACTCACATTTACAAACAGATATCCAAATGAGAAGATCCACTTGAGTCAATGTAATTGTTCATCAACATGTGCAAGGAGCTCATAAGCTGGTCCTTGGAGGTGATGTAAGGTTAGACTCCTTACATTCACTCTCTGAGAACACCTGTGACAAGGCTTCTTCATCTGGGATTTCTGCCTCAGTTTCCCCTCTCTTTTAGAGTCCCCAGTAACTCTTATGCACACTTTCCAATTATAAACAGCCCTTTACAAAGTTAACTGATTACAGAAGCATTACAGTTATAATCCAGAATTCCGCAGTATGGCCCAAGCAGTACATTCAATCTTTCACATCCCTACAGGCCATCAACATAACCAGCACTGTCCCGGCATCTCTTCCCACACTCAGGGTATGTCTACACTACATGGCTCCATTGACGAAGCCATGTAGATGAACTTTGTAGACATAGCAAAATGACGCGGCAATTTAAATAATTGCCGCTTCATTTACATCAAAATGGCTGCCGCGCTCTGCCGATCAGCTGTTTGTCAGCTCAGTGCGGTAGTCTGGATGCTCCGCAGTCGACATCAAAAGCCTTTGTTGACCGCCCCAGTAAACCTCATTGCACGAGGCATAACGGGGCTCTGGGGTTTCTCACCATGCTTTGAGCCGGAGGTATGGCTGCAGCATCTCTCACCAGGCCTCCCCTATGCCTCCTTAGTTGGGGTGTGTCTCCATCTGGACAATTCCTTGTACAGTTTTGCCTCTTGCTGGGAGAGAACACCTGACTCACCTCTCCATCGTTCCCCAGCCCACGCTGTCCTTCCAGTTTCAGCTCTCTAGCTCAGAGAGCCAGCAGGCATGTCCCTCTGCTGCTCTAAACTTTCAGCCGTCTCCTGCTATGGCTCTCTGATCTGGGAAAGTTCATAGGTCTCTCTCTCTCTCTCTCTCTCATATACACCTGCACCACTGTTTCCTCTAAACTGCACACTTGTGCAGGCATGCAGGGAAAATGTCCAATCCGCCCACCTCCTACGCAGAGCTATGTGGCAGGCAGCAGGCAACTGCTCTAGCGGCCAGGGCCAGAGGAGCTGCGAGTCGCATGGCAGGCCCCAGGACATTGCTCTGGCAGCTGGGGCCGGGGAAGCCGCATGGCAGGAAGCTGCTCTAGTAGTCAGGGCCAGAGAAGCTGCGATCCACATGGCGGGGGGCCGGGGACAAGCCACTACGCCGGGGGCGGCGCCAGTGGCGGTGCAAGTACCGGGACTAGTATCAATGGGGGAGGCAGTGGGGACAAGGACAATTGGGGCCCGGCACAGAAGTCGGCTGGGTGGGGGGCAAAGGCACCTGCTGTCTGTGGTGGGGGGAGGTACCGGGCACAGGTAAATTCCGAGAGGGAGCAGAGGGAGAAGTTGCGGGGCTGTGCACAGCTTTCTGGGCAGTGGAGCTTTGACTGTGGGCCTTAGACCCAGCCACTGGCTGTTTGTGTTTGGGGGGCAGAGAGCATGGCCTGGCATATATATTGGTGGTATGTGGGGGGGCAGATTACAAGACTGGGTATGTTGGGGGGTAGGCAGTTAGCCAGGCCTATACAGGTACCAGCTGGCTGTGTGTGGTCCTGATGGCAGCACAGGCAGTGTGTGCTGGGGGCAAGGGACAGCAAGCTGGGTAGTTTTCAGGGTGGTATTTTTTTGAATAATTTTTTTTATATATATAGTGGATACCACAATGGCACACATTCGAATAAGAGCACATGACATTAATATTGGTGCATAAGACAAAACTTGCTCCACTCACAGATGGAAAATCTTGGAGGGAACACTGACCTGCACTTCCACTTGCACTTTCTTCCCACCTTCCGCTTTCTCCAGCCTTATCTGGTTCCACAGTTCAGCTAGAAGCTCTCACCTCTCCTTCCTACAGGGACACCCTTCACTGCAACTCTCAATCCAGTTCTACTCTTCGTCTGAGTTCTTCTTCTAAGCTCCAAACTCCCCGTTTTTCCTCTATTAACTCTGGAATCTGGACTTCCTTGCCTTTGGGTTATCTCCAATTTATAACTCCATGGGGCAGCCCAGCCTGCCTCATTATGTCAATCTAGATCACATCAACAGGATAGCTGAGTCCAACTCCATTTGAGGGGCCAATTACCTTGTAATAATCACTTGCTAATACATGAAATGTTGCAAAGGAACCTAAATTAGTAGGAAGGGTCTTGCTTTATGCAATACTTTCTTACATGTCTTGTTAAAGTTTTTTTTCTTGATAAACCCTTATTTTCTGACACCTCCGTTTAAGCAGGTCAAATTCAGGATGATGTGTCAGCAACTAAATATTCCATTTACAATTGTTCAGGGTTCCCAGAGTCAGATTTTGGTAACCGCATATGAGGTGCAATATATAGTGAGGGGATGGGGAATGAGGAAAAATATAACTTACGCCCACCATTTAGACCAGAGATGGGCACCCATGAATAGGATGGACCACATGAGTAGCCCTTCTTCACCTCAATGGGCCTCAACAGCCCGCTGCCCACTGGGACTCCACCTGTAGCCTCGCGACCCCATTATCTGCCCTCATCCCCCTCACTCCTCTTGAGTAATGAGCACCAGAGCCCCACACTTACTTGCTCTTTCTCCTCTCTCCCAGCATTTTCAGAGCATGGGAATCACCTGATTCATTCTCTGCCCTGCTCCTCCCCCCTCCCAGAGCTGGAATGCCACAAATCAGCTGTTCACAGAGTTCCATTTCTGGAGGAAGGGGAAGGAGCAGGGATGGAGCTCAAATCAGGCAATTTGCATTCTCTGAAATTGCTAGGAGGGGAGAGGCATAGGAAGTGCAGAGCTCTGGTATCCCAGTGCACAAGAGACCTATGGGGATGCGGGTAGCCAGGGGGTCCGCAGGCTGCAGGTGGAATTCCAGTGGGCCGTGGGCCACAGGCTGCCCACTGCTGATTTAGACTCACCTATGAATACAGCTGACACTGTTTAGTAAAAACATGATTAACAAACACTCTTCCAGTAAATATTGTGCTTAAAAGCAAGTCTTTGTTTCTTTCAGCAACATGTATTTTGTACTGGAAAATTACTCTGTGTCAGCAACCCTTAGCTGAAGAAAGGCGGGCCAGTCCTTACAGCACACAGCTTGTCGCTCAGAGAAAAAGATGGTAATTGTTTTGACATAAGTATAGTGACCTAAATCCAGAGACATACAAGTAAATACATACAGCGATGTCTCCAAACTAAGGGAAGGAATGGATTTTGGGCAGGTGGATTGACTGTTATACTTTCATAGTTCCATCTCATACCTGAGCCAAGTCACCAGCACAGCAAACAAAAACACCTGAGGGTGAAGTGGGCAAGCAATCAGTGCAATAAAGTGAAGGAGCTAGCTTCTTCTTTTTTAATTTTTTTTTCCATCTCAGTGAGAGGAAAACAGCCAAATGAAGTATAATTATAGTGCAAACAAACTACACATGGTGAACTCAGAGTAAAAGTTCATTTTAAGTGAAACAGGTTGAAAAACGCAAGTTGTTATAATGCACTGCAATGTGCCATCTGCAATGTTAGTAACAGTGAGCCCTCTGCTCAAAACCTATCCCCTCTGTTACAAATGAGGCTGGCTGGCTCCTGTGGTGGGAGGTCATGGAGTAAGAGTAGTCATGCCTTGGAGCTGCTTACTCTGCCTTAAGAGATGGAGTTGTTTCCACTGCCTAGCACTCCCATGCCCCTTTGGTTCTTAGTTCCTCTCTGCCCAGCATGCGCACATGCCTCATGTGGCCTCCCCAAACACTACCCCACCCTGCACAGCAATTCTGTTTCATGTGGAGCCAACTACACTTGCAGAGAAGGGGTCAGGATTTGCCTCATAATCAAGTTCAATGAAAAGTGGACTTCACTGCTATTAAAACATTTCACTGCAATAAGGAAAAATGTCCTTGCTCTAACTATGAATGGGAGATTTGCCATACAGGCAAACATCTGTAACAAACTAGTGCCCAAATGCTGCACAGTGTGTGGAATAAGTTTCTCTCTTTCCAGTGACTGTACTGCAAATTCAGGGTTAACCTGCATTATGCCTTCTTTGGTGCAGGTCAGATGAGATCACGTGATCCTTTCTCAGCCAAGAGGTAGCCTTGCAAGAGTGCTTTTGGTCATCAAAATCTAGTGACTGGTAACTGAACAGTAGAATGTCACATGGCTCTGCCTCAAACAATGTGATTATTTAACAGTGCATGGGTTTAACAAAGCAAAGATTAAGACGCACACAATTCACTAACATTACCTTGTGCCAGCCTTTTAAAGGCCATTTTCTTTTCTTCAGCATGAAACCTTCATGCTTGTCTGGTTTCTGGACATTAGTCTGGCCTATTTTCAACCCTTCTATGATTTCCCAACTGTCAGGTTCCTGAAATAAAAGTATAAAGAGGGTATTTAAAATTTTACACTTGAAAACCTGGGCCACAGAATCATATATAGAAAGACTTGTTTACAGCATAAAACTGCTCAGCACCCATTCAGATACCAAAATAAGTTGGCAGATTTTTAGACGTGGGCATATTTTTAGAAGTGGGAACTATGGGTGCATCTGGAAATCTAGTCCATACAGAAGCTGCACTCTTTTGAAAATCTGGCACTTATATGCATCCAAGATCTTTTATTTGTATTGCAGATTCATAACTGTGTATGGCAGGACTGTGTGCTAAGAGGAGAAATGGCATTTCATACTTATTAACCAGGTACATTTTGGCAATGATAAGCATACAATGGGCACACACCAACAAATGTGCAAGCAGGCAGGGAGATGCAGGGTGACAGCTAGCTGTCCCAATGCTGACCATTGATTAAAACTGTAGACATTGTTCCAAACACCCTTCCTAACAGAAAATGTAAAACGGCTTAGCTGACATGGTGAAGGAATCAGGGGCAGAATCTTCATGTCAGAATGTTTATCCTTTCTGACTCACCAGCGGCCTCCATTTGAAACTTGGTACGGATTATTCCTTCTCTTAGAAACAATGGATTGTGTGAAGAACTGTATAAGGTACTTTCATAGCCATGTTATGGGTTACACATTAAGGCTGTGTCTACACTGGCATGAATTTCCGGAAATGCTTAAAACGGAATACTATTCCGTTTTCAGTTTTTCCGGAAAAGGAGCGTCTACATTGGCAGGCTGCTTTTCTGGAAAAGCCCTTTTCCCGGAAAAGCGTCTGTGGCCAATGTAGACGCGCTTTTCCGGAAAAGAGCCCCGATTGCCATTTTCGCGATCAGGGCTTTTTTCCGGAAAAGACTACTGGGCTATCTACACTGGCCCTTTTCCGGAACAATGTTCCGGAATAAGGACTTATGCCCGAGCGGGAGCAGAATAGTTTTTCCGGAATAGTGGCTGATTTTGTACAGTAGAGCATTGTTGCTTTTCCAGAAATTCAAGGGCCAGTGTAGACAGCTCGCAGCTTATTCCGGAAAAGCGGCTGATTTTCCGGAATAAGTGGCCCAGTGTAGACACAGCCTCTCACTGTGTTTGCATAGAACAGATCAAACCAATGGTCATTCAGTCCAATATCCTACCTTTGTCAGTAGTCAAGACCAAAACTCTTCAGAAGAAAGTCCAAGAAACTCCAAAAGTGGGCAAGTACAGGCAGTCCCCAGGTTACGTACAAGATAGGGACTGTAGGTTTGTTCTTAAGTTGAATTTGTATGTAAGTCGGAACTGGTACATATTGTAGGGGAAACTCTAGCCAAACATTTCTCCAGAGCTCAGTTTTATTCTCCCAAACCTCACTCTCCTCAGTCCTTTATTCTCAAGCTGAGGTGTCTGCTAAGAAAAGCCGCTCTGCGTCTCCCTGCTCTGCTGGGGGGAAGCAGCTAGTGTGGGGTTGCCTCACCCCGTTTGTAAGTAGGGATCCGATGTAAGTCGGATCCATGTAACCCGGGGTCTGCCTGTATAGAAAAACTTAACCATAGAGGACATTCTTCCTGTCCCTATCAGTTAGTGGCCTGAAGCACGAGTCAAGATCCCTTCCAAACTTTCATGATTATTAAAGGGCCTATGTGATGTAACTGTAGATGGGTCTCCTTTTTTACAGAAATGTTTACTTTTTTTATTTATACTAAGTGCTTGACTACAGTGGCATCTTGTATATAACTCTATAATTCGTGTGCCCAGGTTCACTTTCTCCACACTTAGCAGCCATCATGAATTATGACCATAAGACTCAAGCCAAAATTATAGCTTAATATGTTGAAGGAGAGACAACAAAGAAAGTATAAGATGCCTATGCAAAACAGTTTTGCTCTCATTAATACCCATTTTCTGCCATTCTGATCAACAAAAGTCTGCTCCAGTTTAAAAAGCTACTTTTGCCTGCATAATAAGGTATTCACTAATACTATTTCTCATGGCTCTACACCAGTGTTTCTCAACTGGCATGTCACAACTTCTGGGAGACACAAAAGGCAATTTGGAGGTTGTGAGGTACTGAAAAATATATTACAATTTAAAGCAAAGAAAACTCCACTCATCCACCCTGCACACCTGCACTTCAGAAAAATGGATTCAGAATAAGTCTCTTGTCCCCTGTATGTTATGGTATTAATCTGTCACCAGACTACAAGACTCCTTATACTTAAAGGAACTATTCCCCATTAGAACTTCCCATGTGTCTCTCTTTCACCTCACTGAAGGAGAGATCTAGTCATCCTGAATTTTTATTAATAACATGCTTTTTTCTACGTGCTTCAGGACATTGTACTGATTCCTGTTAGCACCTTTTCTTCTAAATTAAATTAAATCCAAATCTTTCATTTTGTTAATGTAAACACTATTAAAAACATTCTTCTCTGACATCTAAACGTAGCTTTAATCTAGCTACAATTGGAGAATCAGATGTTGTAGGACTGAACCTGCATCATACCTGACAATCCCCCCATGCAAAAGCCACCACAACAAAGTTACTAGTAAAATCATTTATTTAAAAGCATGCAAAGCAGGCACACAGTGATCATCCTATTCCCTCACTGACCTTGGACAGAGAGACAGACTCAGTTTCAAACAACTGCTTGCTTACAGATGCATCTGTACTTCCAAAAGAACTATTTCGCTCTAAAACATGAGCACTCTAAAACAGGAATAAAGAAAAGTAAGTGCTTGGTCATGACATGTCTGTTAAAAACATGTTAATTTATGAATAATGGAGAATTACACAGTTTAAAAAGATATAAACCTATGGCACAGTGCCCTGACTGGCTAAAATAAGTACCAAGTGCTTGCATACATAACACAACATTATTTTTTGGTCTTTCTGAGTGATCCACTTCTGTATTCATTCCTGTGCGCGTATTTTTTTCTTTCCATGTAACCATGCAGTTTTCTCTGCAATGCTACAAAAAAAGGAATTAAATATTGCTGATTTCTAAACAAGATGTACTGTTTTACCCAGAAATTACCAGAAAATGGTTAAGTACCAGAAAAGGAAAGATACTCCCTCAGCCAGTTCTTATTAAGAGTGTCTTCAAATGTTCTTGACTATATGTATTGCATTTTCTTACCAATGTATGAGAAAACTGAGCTGGAAACTTTTACTAATATAACACTTCAGTAGCACTCCACACCTCTAAGCCCTGGTATAAATATTAACTAGCTAATCCTCACAACACGCTTTTGGGGCAGGCATTATCATTCCATACAAAGAAAACAAATTTCACAAATATCACGTTGCCCAAAGTCTTTGAAAAGTAAAACATTTAGAAATTCTGTCAAACATTTTTCTGTTTTACAGCAAAGATTAAAGTCTATTTTTACAGGTAAAAAGCATTTTTTCCCGCTCAAGAAATGGTGAGGCAACACCCATTTTTTGCTTGTAGCATATATGCTTAGACTTGTGATTTGTTTCAGGGTGAAATTTTATCATTTCTGTCAGTATAAACTGGAGTAATACCAGAACATGACAGTACTGTCTCTTTTTAATAAAATGTTCTATTTTTATTTCTACCATGTATAAGTAGACACCTCTCATTTACACAAGAAAAACTACTACAAAACGGAACTGCTGCAGGAGGAGAAAGCATATTAAAGAGAGATGCCTCCCAAACTAAAGCAAGTGTTACATTTTGTTCTGTTAAATTCTTTATGCCTACTGAAAGTTCAGATTACATGGGCATAAACGAGGGAAGAAGCTGTCAGGGAAAAGAAAAATACATACAGTAATATCAAACAAACATAACTAGAAGATTTAGTACAATGACATTTTTATTCACATAACCTTCTGCTCACAAAGACCAAAACTAAAAAAAAACCCACACATATACGTTCATATAAACTCACACAAAATACTTCCCCCAAACATGTCTGAATGTGTAAGCTATTAAATAAATGAGGTCTATTATAAAAAATAACATCCAAAAATAGGAGAAAAAGGGTGTATATTGAGGTAAGACCACCTTTGGTCACAAGAGTATAGAAAGGGAGTAGAGTCTCTGAAGTTTGTGTAGAATCATGAAAGAGAAAAGAAAACCTGTTTATCTTAAGTCTCCAGTTTAATTGTGAATACCGTAAGAACAGTTTCCTGATTCCTTTGCCAGCTGGACAATATTGGTACCTTTAATAATTCCATTTCTACTCACTTACTGCCATAATTTTCTTGACAACCTGTCCTGACCTCTTTTACATCTACACTGTGGTGGTTTTCCTGGATACCAGAGGGGTTTTTTTTCAGACGTGCAAACGCGCTCTTTCGGAAGCCCTGTCTTCCTCATTCCATGAGGAAGAAAGGATCTTCCGAAAGATGGGAATTTTCCAAAATTCAGCCCCAGGTAGACGGGCCAAATTTCGGAAAAGCCTCTTCTGAAAAAAAAAAATCGGAAAAAACTGTAATGTAGACCTAGCCTAGATTCCTGACCCTCCTCTTCCCTGAGCAACACATGTGAGCAGCCTTGCCTTTCCTGGCAGAGTCTATCTATAACTGCTTCACTGCAGAAGAGAACTATGTGGACAAATCTCCGATCTGCTTTCCCCCACACACGGGCTTTACACTGCTGGGTTTGAGTGCAGATAAGTCCTGGCATAGCAAAGATTTTTGTTCTTTCCTTTACAATTGTATTTTAAGTGTATTTACATTTTTAAATAAAAGTTGGCACATTCATTTAAATAAAAGTTCTATTTAAATGTATGTAACACCACTATTTGGACTCTTATTTAGCATGTGAAATTTTATTAAGGGACAAATTTGCACAGCTGAATTATGAACTCCTAGAATACACTGAGCTAGAATGGATCTTCCATTGTGCCAGAGCAGCACTAAGTCAATTGAGGGGTTGCAGAGGTAGTTTTAAGCAAGAGTGCTCTGCTTGTATCCAGTTTTGCCCAGCCATCCCCATATGTAGGGTCATGAGTGAGGGATATTGAGGTTGCTATGGTTACCGTACACGTGGAGCAAAGACTGGATTCCCTGAAAAACTGGCATGGCTTTGAGCTGTGGAAGCATCAGTGAAAACTAGCATAAGGAGAATTACATTGTAAAATTACTTTTTAATTGCTTAAAAATTTCTTTGTCTCCCTCCCACTAATTTATTCATATATTTTAAATAACAGATCATTAGAAATTTAGAAATGAGGCCCAATCCCTCCTCATCATTTTCACATTCTCTGTCACATGCACATAGTGGTTTGTTATTGTATGAAAATAGGGTCACATGGTATGGATTTTTATTTACTTTGGGGGGCACTGATGCCTTAGGTTTTGGGGAAATAAACAAAATAATTACATGGTTTGTACAAACTATTACAAAAAACCATTCTGTGTCTTACTAAACTTGATAAAATCCACTTTAAAATTATTAAAAGAAACAAAGAATGTTGCTTGAATTTAAGGATGGCCATTTGACTTTTTTCTGGTTTGTTCACATCTATTAAAATATGACCTTGTCTTAGCTCTTCCTGTTTTTCAGCAGTTAGTGTAACAAAGGAGAATGGAGTTTCATCTAAAGTTTTCAGAACTCTCATAGATTAAACTACTTCTTATACAGAGATGACTTCATTCTGAAGATGACATACTTATCTGTAGCACAACAGTCCCATCCAACTCATCTTGAAGGAGAGATTGTTTCATGGGCCTCCATTCTTGCCTTTTACAATTGTATAGACCATACTCCCATCCACTCCTAATAGCACAGACTACCTCTATTCCCATTTGCCATTACAAAACATCCCCGTGGCAATTACAGCAATTAATCAAGTAAAAAAATTAAAAATAATTAATATATTTTCATCTGCTTAGCTAGAAATTAGGAAGAGATATAGCATTATGCAACCAGTTGCCTCTCCAGGGACCACCAGCAAGAGCTTTGCAGCCCACAGGTAGGAAACTTTTGCTTTACTATATATTGTCCAATACCAGCGCTCAGACTGAAAAACCAAAGCTACCAATGTCGGACAAATGTTTGTACACTGTACTTGTAATGTTGGTCCAATGAAAAATCCCACATCGCATATTGAGTGGTCATAGGATTTTAGCACCTTAAAGTTATAAACGCCAATAAAATATCCTAGTGAAAAATCTGAAATTGTTACAGTAAGCTTCCGATAATCTGGCACCTTTAGGACACAGGAAGTGCCGGATTATCAAATATGCCGGCCTATCCAAAGGGAGGGTTATGAGGGGTCTAGGGTGGTGTGGGGGGGATGCCACCCCAAACCCCTCATAGCCCCCCCTTCTGATAGTCCGGCTCTGCCCCAGGGGTCCCTGATTCAGCCGCTGCTGGTCAGTTTCAGCAGGGGCTGAATCGGGGACACCTGCAGCAGAGGAACCGGGTGCTGCTGGGTTGGTCCAGTAGCGCCGAGGAGCGGTGCTACTGGAGCAACCCAGCAGC